TCAACCATAAATCATAAGTCATCGATGCACAACTAATACCGAGCGCTCACATGCACATACGAATATGGGAGGAATTCAAAGAGTTATGCTTGAAGCTGAATCAATGCCACGCAATAAGGAAAGAAATATGGGAAGTATATCCTAAGTGTCCTATAGCCTCTCGAAGATAGGTATAGACGTCATAATACCAATCCGCAAGACTCTACTAGACACTTTCTCATGACTTGTAGAACCTATGAACATAGAGCTCTGATACCAACTTATCTCGATCCAAAATCTAATTAGTCGTGATGGCACCTAACCCAACCCTCTAGGTAATCCAATTAACAACTACCCAATTTAAGGAGATTTATTAAGAAAAGAAATAATAATACAACTGCTTTTATATAAGAAACTCCCCAAGGGCTGGTAGTACAAATCATTAGCGTCTAAGATTTAGAATTTACAAAGCTAGTATGAAACAAAATACATCCTCTATTTGAAATATACATGAACAGATCTTTCAAAAGTCTAGAACTACCATGAACAAGAGGCAGCTATGACTGAAACACAGGAACATCTTCAAATCCAACTCCCGTCGAATACAATAACATCAGCATTCAACATCTGCACGCAAAGTGCAGAAGTGTAGTATGAGTACAACTGACCCCAAGTACTCACTAATTAACAAACCTAACATTAGATTAAAAGTAGTAACGAGCTGGGACAAAGGTTAGAGTACAATACCAATAGCCAACAATAATTCATAACAACATAATGAAAGTAATAAAAGGAGTAACTCAGAGATTAAAATGTTCAACTCATCCACAGTTCCACAAAATAGGTCTGCTTTTCAAGTATATCAATCAAAACCCAAATCTTTTACCGAATCTCCAAAAATATAAGTAAGTTTGAAAACTGTAATTTTGTCCCAAAACCTTTCAACAATAAATAAGATGTTTCATTTTCAGATAGCATGAGAAAGGTACGTCTCTATGCCCACTTATCAAGATACAGGTAAAATCATGAATGTCAACAAAATCGGATAGTAGAAGGAAATGCATCTCTATGCATGTATCTCAGGTACGCATGTCAAATGCAATGCATCTCAGTGATGAACTCATGTACTCACACTCTCAGAGTACTCAGTCTCGCTATCTCGAATTCTCTCTCACCATGATCAACACTCAACACACTCAATCACTCAGCACTGTACAATACCTGTTGCGGTGTGAAACTCGATCCATATAAAGAAATAAGGCCTGTTGTGGCATGCAACTCGATCGACAAATATATAGCCATAAGGCTAGTTGCGGCGTGCAACCTGATCCACATATATATAATCAACTGCATTTTTGGGGTGTGCACGGACTATGAAGGGCTCCTTCAGCCCAAATACTAATATCCGCATGGAAAAATCACATGTTGCAGGACAACTCATGTGCAATAGTACCAATATCCTTACAATCAGGCACTCGACCTTACTCAGTCATCAATCTTTCCAGTCTCTTGACTCACAACACTCATGATGAGCAGCTCAAATCAATGATATGAGATGTTATAATAAACAGTAACAGAGACTAAGATATGATATGTAATGATGAATGCAACTGAGTACATAACTAAAATTAAGCAAATAACTCAACAGCAAAGAACGACCAATATAGGTCCCATTGGTACCGACATATAGCCTAAACATAATTTTAAGCATCAAATATAGCTCAGGTGCTCTAACACATAGAGTACAGTAGAAATGTTCAGATAAGACAGCTACACAGTTTCATGAAATTGACTAAATCACAATTTACACGGTGCACGCCCAAATGCCCGTCACCTAGCATACGCGCCATGTCAACATTAATCATATAACACGTAATTCGGGGTTTTATACCCTCAACATCATGTTTAGAAGTGTTAATTACTTTGAACAAGTCAAATCTAATACCAAGCAAGCCAAACGATTCTCCAAAAAATACCATCTTGCGTGTACCAACCTCTGGAAACTCGAAACTATCCAAAAGAAACTCAAATGCATCAAATGAAGCCCAAGGAAAAAATTCCAAATGAAAATGATAATTTCTTAATAAAATGTAAAAGAGTAAACTCAAAGTTAACCAGTGGGCCCACATCTTAGAATCCGACAATACTCATAAAATCTGACAACCCATTCAATTATGAATCCAGCCATACTAGTATCACTCAAATCTGACTCCGAATCGATGTTCAAAATTTCAAAATTCACTCTATGAAACTTTTGGCTAAAACCCCCAAATTTCGTCTCAAAATACTAGTTAAATGATGAAAACAATTTATATTCATGTATATTAACCAAATCCTAGTTAGAATCACTTACCCCGACGAATTTCTTGAAAAACTCACAAAATATTGCCACAAACCGAGTCCCAACGGCCAAACGTGAAATAATACTCTATTCCTCATTTGTATAGTACAAAAGTCTAACCTCTCATTGTGCTGATAGCACCTTTTTTGTGCGGTCCGCACATTCTTGGATCCACAGCCGCAATCCAAATTGTGCGGTCTCACTTCAGTAGTGACTGCACTACCAGGCTTTAGTAAAATACCTATAACATTATTTACAAATGTCCAAATGATGATTCGCTTGCTTTTTTTAAACTAGACTCAAAGGGATACAACTTTCATTTTTGGATCATCTAAAAATTCCTTATATATTAAAAGATATAAGCTTCCAAAGTCAGACCATCGAACTTGCAAATTCTCCTTTCTGCGTCCGCAAGAGGATTTCTGCGGTCCGCACATTTCCTCTGCGGTCCGCAATTTTCCTCTATGGTCCACACTTTTCCTCTGCTGTTTGAACTTGAGGCTTTGCCTCAACACTCAAAAATGTGCCCCCGCACTTCACTTGCTCCAGAACATCATTAAAGTGCCGAAATACCCAAACTTGTTCAAAACTCACTCGAGACACACTCGAAAGTTATCAGGACCCCATCAAAACATACCAACAAGTCCAAAAATAGAATACGAGAATAATCAAAGCCTCAATTAACACATAACAACATTGAAATGATGAATCATACCTTAAATCGAACATAATGAACTTTGAATCTTCAACATCCAAAACTCCCGACGAAATATATCAAATCAACCCAGAATGAACCCAAATTTTGCACACAATTCCTAAATGACATAACGAATCTATTCTTATTCACAAAACCACGATCCAAAGAATATCATCAAAGTCCACTCTCGGTCAAGCTTATAAACTTTCCAAACCTTTAAATTTCCAATTTTCACCAATTTTGCCGAAATCTTCTAGAAACCTACAAATGCAAATCCGAGCATACGTCTGAGTCCAAAATCATCATATGGACATAACAGAATCGTCAAAATTTCAATCCGAGTTCAAATGCTAAAAAGTCAAACTTGGTCAACTCTTCCAATTTAAATCTTTCTAGTTGGGAATCATTCTTCTAAATCAATTCTGAATAACTTGAAAACCAAAACCGCTAATTCACATAAGTCAAAATACATCATACGGAGCTAATCATGCCCTCAAACCACCGAGCGAAGTGTAAATGCTCAAAATGACTGGTCAGATCATTACAATGCAGGATTACGCTTCTCGGTGGTTGAAGGTTCATGAGAAGAATTATCATGTGCATAATTTAGAGATCGAAACCATTGTTCATGCGCTAAATATTTTGAAGCACTATCTATATGGTGTTCCATGTGAGGTCTATACCAACCATCAGAGTCTCCAACACCTATTCAATCAGACAGCCATTAATTTTTGGTAGTAGAGATGGTTGTAGTTAATAAAAAACTATGATATCACCATATTATATCAACTAGGGAATGCCAATGAAGTGTCCAATGCATTGATTACAAAGGCTAAGAGCATGGGCAGTTTGGCATATTTACCGATAGTTGAGAGGCCACTACTTATGGATGTTCAGGCTTTGGCCAATTGATTTGTGAGATTGGACGTTTTGGAGCCTAGTCGGGTTCTTTCTTGTGTTGTGACACAGTCATTGTTGTTGGAGCATATCAAGGATTCCCAGTTTGATGATCCTCACTTTTTAGTGTTGAAGGACACGGTGCAGCGGGGTGGTGCTAACGAGGTTATGATTGGTGAAGATGGTGATATGCGTCTTCAGGGTTGGACTTGTGTTCCAAATATTGATGGGTTGCAAGAGTTGATCCTTGAGGAGGCTCACAGTTTACGCTATTCCATTCACCCAGGTGTTACAAAGATGTACTGCGACTTGAAACAACACTATTAGTGGAGGAGAATGAAGAAAGATATTGTTACTTACCTCGATCGGTGTTTGAATTGCAAGAGGTGAAATATGAACATCAGAAACTGTGTGGGTTGTTTCATAGATTGGAGATATCGAAGTGCAAGTGGGAGCTTATCGCGATTAATTTTGTGGTAGGCTTACCAAGGACCTTGAGGAAATATGATGCATTCTGGGTTATTGTGGACCGATTGACTAAGTCTGCAGACTTTATCCCGGTGATGACTCCCTATTCTTCAGAGTGGTTGCCTCAGATTTACATCCGAGAGATTATCCGTCTGCACGACGTGCCTATTTTTATCCTTTTTGACCGAGGCACACAATTCACATAGCATTTTTGGAGAGTCGTGCAACATGAGTTGGGCATGGGACTCGAGCTAAGTACCACATTTCATCCTCAAACAGACAGACAGACAGTCTGAGTGCACCATTCAGATCTTGGAGGACAAATTACATGCTTGTGTTATTGATTTTGAAGGTGCATGGGATCAGTTTCTACCGCTCATAGAGTTCACCTATAAGAAAAGGTACCAGTTGAGTATTTATATGGCGTCGTACGAGGCCTTATATGGGAGGCAATGTCGTTCATTAAGTTCTTGGTTTGAGCCTAGTAAGGCTAGATTATTGCGTATTTATTTGGTCTGTGATGCTGTGAAGAAGGTTAAGGTGATTCAGGAGCGACTTCGTACAACGCAGTCCATGCAAAAGAGTTATGCGAACAGGAAGGTTCGAGATGTGGCCTACATGGCGGGTGAGAAGGTTCTTCTTCGAGTGCCTCCCATGAAGGGCGCGATGTGGCTTGGCAAGAAGGGAAAGTTGAGCCCAAGGTTTATTGGACCATTTGAGATCTTGAAGACAGTTGGGGAGGTTGTTTATAGACTTGAATTGCCTCCTAGCCTAGTAGGGGTACATCTATTATTTCACATTTCCATGCTTCGGAAGTACCATGAGGATAAATTGTATGTTTTAGACTTCAACACGGTGCAACTTGATGAAACTCAGACCTATGAGGAGAAGCCTGTGGTTATTCTAGACCTACAAGTTCGTAAGTTAAGTCTGAAAGTTTTTCTTCCGCGAAAGTGCAACAGAGGGGACCAAGTTGAGATCTGAAAGTTTAGCCAATCAAGGAGGCTACATGGGAGTCCAAGTCTGATACAAGCTCATGTACCTTTTTACAAGTTCATGTACTTTTTTATGTCTGTTTAAGGACGAACGTTTCTTTTAGAGGTGGAGAAAGTGACGACCCGATAGATCATTTGATTACTAGCCTTTAATTTTAGTGTTTCGATACCTCCCATAGCTTCATTTGATGTTTGTCAATTTGCGTGCATTGAAAAAATTTGGACTTAGCTCATTTTATACCATTTTTCAACCCTAATATCTCTAGAGATGATTTTTGATGAACGATTTCTTCCCAAATTCATTGGTAAACATTTCTAATTACTTTTCACTCAATTTCAATTACTTTTCATGTGTTTTTAACATCAAATAAATCTTTAAATTTCATAGTAGAAATCAGGGGTTTTGGATAGAATTTAGTGATTTTATAAAATTGAGATTTAGATCTCAAATTGAGATAGGATTTCAAAACAAATCACATATCTGGGCTCGGGGGTGAATGTGTAATGGGATTTGGTCCGAATTTCAGATTTTCAGACCAAGCGGGCCTGGGTTTGACTTTTGTTGACCTTTTCAATTTTGCTAAAGATTGAACCTTTTATTTGTGAGTAGTTTCTAAAGCTTATTTTGAATTGTTTGAGCGATAATTGGTTAGATTCGGTTAGTTTGGAGGCTTGTTCGAAAGGAAAGCCCGTGATTGATTGATGATTTGGTTTCGTAGCGAGGTAAGTGTCGTGTTTAACTTTGCCTTGAGGGAATTAGGACTTCTCAGTCTATTTGCTACGTGAATTATGTGTCGAAATGGCATATATGCGAGGTGACGAGTGTATATGCATTGTCATGGTTATATCATATGATTTGGGCTATTTACCTTTATATCATCAGTTATTCCTTGTTATCTTTTGTTATATGCTTTGGTTGCTACGTGATCTTACTTATTATCGATGCCTTACTTGTTATCTGTCATTTAATTACATGTTTTGATTTATTTATTTCCCGCTCAATATTTGCTTACCTTCTATATGTTCCTACTTGTATTAGTTGTATATCTTCATTGTCACATGTCTTTACTTGACTTTATTGTCATTACGTTACTCATTGCACCTTATCATGTTATATCTGATTGCGTGAATCATTTAGTTATTCTTGTATTGATAAATAGTTGAGGTTTGTGATTACAAGGTATTGATTATTCTTCGTTCGTACTGGTAGTTCCTTGATGTTTTATACATTTTATTTACATTTTGTGTTGAGACGACGTTATTGGTTGTGTTGCGTTATTTATGTAAATGAGTTGATATATTTGGAACGGGTTGAGCTCCGCAACAATATTAAAATGAATTGTACGATGCAACAGATAATAACATGATTTTAGGATCAGGTTGCATGCCATAATAGATATTGGGTTAATGTGGGATCGGGTTGTGCACCACAACGTAGTATGATGTGTTGTAGTGTTGTATCTATAATGTACTATTCTGGTACTGTGATTTGAAGATTTCAAGATGATGTTATTCTAGGGGCCTCTGTTTGTTGACCTTCGAGTCCCGTTCTTATGAGTTTTTTCAAAACCCCAATTTCCACCTTAGGATGTCGTGATGGCACCTAGTCTCTAAGACTAGTTAAGCCTAACAACAAGAGAATATTACACAAATAATGACTAAAAATATGAAATAAAGCTGATAAGTCTCATAATAACTTCAATGCAGAATCACAATACAACTTTTCCAAAACCCGGTGAAACTGAGTCATAAGCTCTACATACATGTATTAAAACCTCTAATACAACATTGTTTGATAAAAGAATAAACAGTAATGGGATGATAACAGAAGGTGACTCCGAGGCATGTAAACGTCGAGCAGGTATATCTTGAAATCTCTGAAAATAGATGAATGATCACTAGCGCCCAGCACAAGCAGACAAGCAGATGTACCTGGATCAACACAAAAATGTACAGAAGCTTAGTATGAGTACACCACAACTGGTACCTAGTATGTATCAAGCCTAACCTCGGTACAAAAGTGATGAGGTCAGGTCAAGATGCTTACTAAGACAAGATAAACTGAACAGAGTATAATAAAGACCAATAATAGAGAACGAGGAAATGAATAATAACAAAACAGTATAATAATGTAGGCTAATAACAGAATTTAAGGCAAGGAAGTTAACGAGAAGTAAACACATGATGAAAACAATAGGTAATCCAATAAGGACAAATACAAGTAAGACAATGAAGAAAACAACAAGAATTGTTCAACTAACAAGCCTTTTTAACATGAAATGTATAAGAAGAATCACAACCGAGGTATCACGCCTCATAATCACATTTCACAATTTCAATCACAATATTTCCTTATATTATAATGTGAGCCTTGTATTTATTTTTAAAAATATTTTTCTGAAATAGCTACACGCGTTTTAGCCCCCTTATATCATCATATGGCTTCAAGTAATTCTCTTACTAGCAACACGCGTATATATCCTTCCTTATCCCACCGTATGCGTATCAACCCTTATCCTTATACCACGACATGCATATCAATATTATAAAACAATAACAACTCGCACCACATGTGCCATATGCCACAACTTTCCAAAATCAACAATACCAATGTTATCATAACAATTAGACCACGTCTCAACCATAATGTGTAGAAAAATTTCAATAATAACAAATAAATGGGAAATACTCAACAAGGAAAATATCTCAACAATTAACCTCTTCAACCTCAGTGTGATGATAGCTTCCACAACTTCAATATCAATAATTCAACAAGAACATATTTCACAAAATAACAACTTCAAGTAAGAGTAATTCAACAATAAAGAGGTAACAAGACAATAAGAGAGGTAACAAGTTCAACTAAAGCATATAAAAAGCAATTACAATAACAAAAGATAACACAAAAACTAGCAATGTCAGTTAGAGCATGTGAGAGCAAATTTAACAATGAAAGGTGTAATATATTATAACGAAATTCAATTAAATATATGGAAGAAGCCTAGAAATCCAAACCGATCAAAATACCACATATAGCTCAAGTACACACTTTCCACCTCATATACCCAAATCCTAAGGGGTTGTTCTCCAACACAAAGTTAGGCAAGATATTTACCTCAACTAGGACAAATCACCCCTCGAAAATAGCTTTACCTCTAAAGTTTACCTTCCCACGGCTCAAATCTAACCAAAAATGACTTAATATCATCATACAATGCAAGAAAAATCAATTACAATAGATAAAACTATGATCTTTACATATTTCTCAAATCGTCAACAAAAGTCAATCTCGGGCTCGCCCGATCAAAACCCGAGTCCAATGGTAGATTCCGACTACTCATGACCTCAAGAGCTCATATATTTCTTTTATTTTCAAATACAAATTCAAATCGGTTCTAAAAATCCAAATATTCATTTTTCAAAACTTTAAAAAAAATTCCAAAAATAACCTCTTTGGTTCTCATATTTGATGTTAAATCTAAGATATAATCATGAAATATAATTGGAAATTAATTCGAATAAGTTACCCAATATTTATAGATGGAAATTCTGTCATCAAATCGCCTCCTACCGAGTCTAGAATTCTAAAATATTAAAAATGAGACTTAATCCCGACTTTTCGGCCCTGATGTTCAGTTGCAGATGTTGCACTTGCGACCCTCGCAATCGCGAAGAAAATCTCATGAATGAAACTACTAAAAGCCTAAGGGAACTTCACAAATGCAACATTGGGTTCGCGATTTCGAACCATGTTCCTATCACAAATACGACAAATTAAGTCGCAATTGCGATTCTACACAAAGCTGCCTATGTTCGCAATTATGAGTGAGGCATCGCAATTGCGATACCTAGCACTCGCATGCTCACTTCACAATTGCGAGGCTGGTGCTCGCAATTGCAACATTAGAGATACCAGAACACCAACAACTTGTTTATAGTCCAAATCTTTCCGAAACGCGTCTGAAACTAACCCGAGCCCTCGAGATTCCAAATCAAACATCCACACAAGTCTAAAAATATCATACAAACTCGCTAGCACGATAAAAATATATGAATAATATCTAGAACTACGTATCGGGCATCAAAACATATAAATTTCAAAGAAAAGTTCAAGAACATCTAGAATTGCAACCATGCGTTCGAATCCTATCAAATCAACTCTAAATGACACTAAATTTTGCAGACAAGTTCTAAATAGCATAAAGGAATTATTCCAAGTTACAAAACTGAATTCCGAACCTTATATTCTAAAATTCAACCTACGGTCGAACTTGAAAAAACTTCTAAAGCTCAAATTGCCAACTCTCAGCAAAACAATACAAATCAACCTACGGACCTTCGAATTCGATTTCGGGCATATACCAAGTCTAAAATCACGATACGAACCTATCGGAGTCATCAAAATACTGTTCCAAGGTCATTTTCATAAAAGTCAAACTTTGCTCAATATTTCTAACTTATGCTTCTAAATGAAGAACCAAATAGTCCAAATCAACTCGAAATCTTCTCGACGAAACTAATTAACAACGCAAGTCATAAAATCACGAATGCACATGTGTGAAGTATTAAAAGGGTATACTGAGCTCAAATACATAAAACGACCAGTCGAATCATTACAAGTTTTCTGCTTTATCTATATTTCTATTTTCTTTTATTATTATTCGTACATGTTTATAGTGGGTATCATGTCATAGCCTCGCCACTACTTCATGGCAGTTAGTCTCGATACTTACAGAGTATATGGAGTCAGTTGTACTCATACTACACTTTTGCACTTCTTATGGAGATCCCGGTGTTGGTCCCAACAGTGCATAGAGGAGTTCGGTCGGATTTGACTTACCCAAGAGACTCGAGGTAGAGCCGCTCGACGTTTGCAGTCCCTGAATTCCCCTTCTATCATATTTTATTTTTTGTTTAGTTTCAG